TGTACAACTGTTGGCGCAAGCTACATTAAAGTGATTATTACGTTTTGAATATGGATATTTTTCTTACAAAAACGCATCGATTCGCTACAGGAGGCCTTTGTTCACCCCCCGGAGCCGTGAGAGACACTTTTTTTTTATGGATGGGCGCTTTTTATTTAACTTTTTTTGGACCGATGCATGCAACACCCACTGAGTGGCATTAAACAGCTTGAAAGATCAAAGACAATTTTTAATATAACTCAGACTGGATTTGTCTGAAAGAAGAAAGCCATATACACCTAGGATGACTTGAAGGCGAGTAAATTATGGGCTAATTTTCAATTTTGGGTGAACTACATGTACCAAGCTGCATCATATGAAATGATGCAACAAAATTGTTGCTTTAGCTGTCTAAAAACTTTGAGGCCTACTATATATTCTCATTGACATTCTGGATCTAAATAAGTAGATCCTGTACTTGAAATGTAAACTTATTTAGATCCAGAATGTCAATGAGAATATATAGTAGGCCTCAGTTTTTAGACAGCCAAAGCAACAATTTTGTTGCATCATTTCATATGATGCAGCTTGGTACATCTCTTGCATCATTTAAAACTTTCTTCTGCTGCTCTCTTCCATACAGCAATAGTGACAAAAAATAAATAAAAAAAGAGCACAGTCTAACAACTTCTGCACTATATTCCAAGTATTCTGGAGCCATTTGATAGCTTTGTTCACGGAACAGACACAAATTTGCCGTCACCACCACTATTCACAATCATTATGGAAATGAAAGGCTAATAAGTCTGGTGAACTTCTCCTTTGTACACAACAAAAATCACACAAAACAGTTCACTAATAAAATGAGGAGCCATTTTAAGTTGATGCCTTCATGCAGTTTCCTCATTTTGAGGTTTCTAAGCACACTAAAGCACATGTGTGCTCTTCATTGATTCCCTGTGCATCAGTTTGTACTTCAAGAATTTTAAGTGTCAACGGGTGCAAATCTGACTATTTTGATTTAGATTCGAGTTGATATTTAGGATCAATTTTCATTTACAACAACGACCTATTAAAATATCTCTCCGGCTTCCAGACCACAATGTTCAAGTCCTGTTTGGTGCACTTGCATGAACTTGACGGGACAAACAGCATAATTTTGATTGTAAACCACAGCTGATGCATATCAATCAGGTGAGATGTGATTTGCATTAGCCCAGCACAGCTCTCGGGTTCCAAGCACATAAAAAAAAAAATGGCTCGCAAAGGAGTATTTATCCCGTACAAAAGCTTTTGCTCCAATAAATCAGACGGATTAAAGTCAACACAATCAAATAAATAAATAAATGAAAAAATAAAAGGACATGATCATGACATGCGCCACTGACCCGTTAAACTAGACGCTCTATTTTGCATGTGATCCCAGGAATCAGTCGCATTAATAAACCAGCACTCTGCCAGATGTCTAGGCCTTGTTTTTGTTAGCCAGGACACTTCGTAACTACAAGAATAAAGCTCGCTGGGTAATCGAATGCAATTAAACCGCAAGCGTTTATATTCAGACTTGGCAGACGATACCCGTTAAAACGCAGGGATTTCACCGTATTAAAACGCTCCGATTGGCATCACTTCCGTGTGAACTCACCTCTGATTTTCCGTCTCTCTCACTTTAATATTAATGGCGTCCGTGGG